CCCCCCCCCAAGCATCTTTTTCCACACGCGAAAGCGACTGTGTCCACCTCGAAATCAACTGCATATCCCCGAAACCTCCGCGAAACTCAAATGTGTCCCCCGCCTAAACAACTGAATATAAACCACACGAAAACCGTCAACTGTGTCCCACGCCAAAGCAAGTGTGTCCCCACACCAAAGCAAGTGTGTCCCCACACCAAAGCAAGTGTGTCCCCACGCCAAAGCAAGTGTGTCCCACGCCAAAGCAAGTGTGTCCCTACGCCAAAGCAAGTGTGTCCCTACGCCAAAGCAAGTGTGTCCCTACGCCAAAGCAAGTGTGTCCCCACGCCAAAGCAAGTGTGTCCCCACGCCAAAGCAAGTGTGTCCCACGCCAAAGCAAGTGTGTCCCACGCAAAAGCAAGTGTGTCCCACGCAAAAGCAAGTCCGGGTAGCGAAATGACTAGTAAATAAATGGTCGCTCAAGTGACGTTCCACTGCATATTCAACTCAAACAAAAATCTCGTTTTTCTCAATGTTCCTGTTCTTCTTTTCCATGTTTGTAATTACCTGCCTCTTAGCTAATGGCTTCCAAGTTTAAGCATTCCCATTTGACTATGAACACGACGCGTACGGCTTCCTGTTTTTTCATTGGTGCAAAGCGGAAGCCATTTCAAAGTCAGGAGCTGAGATACAAAATTCGCAGAGGGTGTCAACTATGAAAATCGAGAAAATCAGCCAAATTTATTTTCTTTTATATTGATTTTAAAATTTAGATTCACTCATAAAATTTTCATTTTTGTAATAAATTTGCCTTTCATAGGTCGTGCACAAAAGGTTCATTTTCCAAAAATGTGGTTAACTTTTTCCAGTTTTTCTTCAATTTTATTCTTATCAATGATTATGCATGTACCAATTCCTAAGGTACGTGACACAACTTTAATCTCATTTTACAGTAAAAATCTTATATTTCGTGCAAATTGCGGTTTTCTCGAATAACAATCATCTTGTATTTTAGATCTTCGAGGCGATCGGTTGAACACATTTTCTCCAGATCCGCAGATTAGCTATATGATGTGACACGAGAACCATCTCCTCTCACGAGTCACTCAACCCAATGCATGACACATTTACTCAGTTATAGACAAACATACCAAAAAATATCAAAATAACAGGTAAACACAACCATCTCAAAATCAGATTTGAATTTTCCTTTTTGCATTCTGTGTTTAAATTTTTTAAATTTTCTAGGAATATTTTAAGGTTTAGTTTCAGTGTGATGTACGATGTTTGATTAAAACATGTTTTGAGCTTAACCATCACGTGATGTGAAATGCACTCGATCTTTGACACTCGCCTGCTCGCCTGAACATGGAACTCATTCCAGAGCCAATCTCCATTTATATTTCAATCGGTTTGGTGTCCTTCTTGGCGTTAATATGGTGTATATCGATCTGCTGTTGTAAGGGACCTTGTAGAGAGTTTAAAATCCCAGTGGCTTCGACGTTTGAAGCGCATTTGAGCCCGGCATTAAGGAACTCCTCTTTGAAATCAAAATACGACCAATACTACTATAGATTGTTGGTAAGTCCATAGCAATCATTAACATTATTCTGCTTGTCATCCTCGAATCCGTTCAACAGTGAAAACTTGAGACTCTACAAGCGTTATACAATGTGCTTTCATGAAAATTAGTTCTACACGACTCCAGAACACGACCTCTGGGTCGATCTTCTAAAAGTGACAGCTGAAAATAAATTTTGAAGTTCCATAAAATTTCAAAACCAAAATTCTCAACTTCAGTATTCAAACAGCTCATTTTTAAAGATATAGGATCTTTATAATGGCAAATTCATTATTTATTGGCAATTTTCTAGTAGATATGGCTGAAGAATATTCTCCTTAATTCATGTTTTGATTCTTGTTTTGAATATCATAGCTCATGAAATGTAAACATTAGAGCTTTTGGTATATTTAATCGAATGCCTGATTCAGAAAGGGTTAATTAATTCATTTATGTCAAGCTGCTTTTGTTTGGCATTTTAGTATATCCCTGTTTGTATTGATCATTTTAAAATATCTAAGTTTTATCCGGTAGGGGCATGTTAAATAAAGCCGTCTTACTTAGGGAAGGGAGGATTGGGAATTTTTTACAACCGAAAATTAAAAACAATACATGAAATATATGAACAACTTCTTTCTAAGAATTTTTTTTTCTTTTTTCTTTTATTGAAAAGGGGGGGGAGGGGGGAATCAGTGAATAGACTAATGAATGAAAGAATGAATGAATAGGATGGATGGATGGATGGATGGATGGATGGATGG